TCGATCGACTGATGTGAAGAAATTCATATGTTACTGGTCAAAGCTGAGAGTACGGTAGGTTTGAATGTGCTAACCCCTATAGCATCAGGAAAATAGCTATATCTCCTCGTAGAGGCAGAATTTCTCGGCAAGTTTTTCTTCATGTTTAGACGGAATGGTTGTCTCAATGAAACTAATGAGTGCAGAACGTTGAAATGAGTGCACCTTGAATGGACAACAGCAATAGCAGCAGCAAGACCATAATCGACAGCAATAGCGGCAATTCCATGGTCGACAGAAAATGCAACGAAGTAATTTGCAGCAAAGACACGGCAAACAACACAAGCAGAGCCACAAAACTAGCCACCCAAATAATATAGTGGCCATCAAAGATCTGAAATTTTGCAATTCTGAACGAAACCTCTCCGAAAATCCATTTTATTTACGCGAGAATATACGATAATTTCCAGTGAAATATAAATTTAGGAGAAAGTGCCATTGTTACTATGCTGCACTACTGTAAAAACCTTTTGGGCTTCTGGTTAGTGAAGTAGCAAGTTAAGTTTTGGGTATGCCTGCTTCCAGTTAACATGGCCAGCAAGCAGTAATGAATACGAATCTTCCAGCTTCAATTAATTGATCTGATGCATTTTTGTGATATACAGTTTTGCATATTTTTGTATACAGTTTAGTAACAGACCGATGTTCGGTTGATAAAATTTGATCGAATTTTCGTTAGGAATATTTTTTCGGCATTCTGAAGATTGTCAAAGTTCGCTACTTCTCGGAAAGGTTCCGCTGCATTCCCCCCGAAAAAAGCTCAAAACTGTTGCGTAAGGTTCCGACCGAAGCGCAAACTTTCGCTCGGTCAATCTCACTACATTGTGCGTATTTAGCGTAAGCATAAAATTGTGAATTACACGCTGAAAGCGCTCAGTGTATATCATGAAGAACTGAACGAATAAGAAACAAATGAATGGCTTGCATACATGAACCATGCTTCAAGATCAATCAAAACATCAATTGTGTTCGGTTGTAAATGTTTCAGAATGCTTTCAACGTCTGTTTTGAACTTCATAAAATGAACACCCACATCACTCAATAGGTTTTTTGCTAATTCACTGTTTTCCAGCGATACTGTCGTTGCGGCTATCATTCTTGAGCGTTCTGTTGACATATCTTCCTTTAATGTGGTAATTTAATACCTTATTTCGCGTTTGATCACGCGTGATCATCTAATCAGATCACCTCTTTATTCAATCTATTCTTGACAATTACATTGAAGGGTTTTAAAGTTTGACTTTCCTCGAATTTCATTGTTCAACGAAATCAGCATTCGAAGATCGGATATTTCAATTGATTAAATGGATTGATTGAGGCAAAAAATTTTCAACGGAACTTCATTTTGAAAGCATTTTCGGTAAGCACAACATAATAGTTGTTTGAGGTGCATCTCACGATCGCTCAATCTTCACTCTCAAATTTCGCAGAATGAAGTAAAAAATGAGAACTGACGTTTTGCAACGGAAATGAAAGCGAGCACTGTAAAAGTGTTACGAGAGTTAGCGTTAGTATTTGAGTTGTCATACAGTTTTTCTTCTTTGTTGTTGTTGTTGTGGTAATCTAAAACACTCATTACCAAATCCACTTGGAAACTTAAGTGGCAATCTGAATGATCACTCGCAGAATTAAGATTGACTGTAGAATAAGGTACATTCCTATTGTCATTCGTATTGTTTTAACGTATTGTTTTTAGAATAATACTGTATGAACCAAGACGGAAAATGCTTATTGTTCATTGTGAATATTTCACGGCTCAACGAGGAACTAACCGTTCGAGACATTGAAAAATTTAGAAATGTTGTTGATTGAGGCAAAATTGCAAATTTACTCATCGTCAATTCTTTCATCAGCAACACGCCTCGAAGGCGTACGAAATATAATTATGCATGGGTGCATTATTATTGAAATTATTTCAACCGATAATATTTCAGTTTCAATAAGATTGAATTCAAAATTCATTGGGTTCGGAAGGTGATTTAAAAAAGATACGATATTTTCGATGCGTCTTCAGTTATTCGATGTCTAACAAAATGTACATAATTTTTTATCAAATTCTGATAAATGGATCAAATGAAACACAATTTTCTATGAATCGTACAATGCTACGTTGGCCTGCGAATATGTATGTGGCATACACGAATTCTAGATTCTCTCAATGAATGCTTTCATTAACCATTCGGCACTTCTCTTCGTTCCCAAAAACGTTCACAACCCCTCTCAAGAATACTTTCTGTGCACAACATCATTATTATGCTTGGCTTTCGAAAATCCAATCCGACTCCCACCGAAGTCGTAAACGTTGCAATATGTTCGAATGAACGTATCTCCGAATGTCCACCGAGGCACGTCATCGTCAAAGTCATCTTTCACGAACAATGTCACCATACACCGGTCATCTTCAAGGCGTGCCTGTAAAAGTGAAAATGCTTGTGCCCGACTGTGAATAATAATAATAACTGGAATTGTTTTGTGCCTTAATTTCATCAACTGAAACGACACATTAGGTTTTCAGCGAGACTCCCTTTGTTTGTATCTCAACAAAATAAGTTATAAATTGAAATCATCGCTAGAGATGTTTACTTCCGGAAGTTTGAGAGTGCTCATGATGGCAATTCATTCGCCAATAAATAAGACATAACTGAGATCAAACATATTAGACCATAGAGGTAATTGATCATTTAACCTACATTAAGAATGTATTCATAAGACGGTATAGCGTACAGTTGAGAATCGATCTTAAAAACGAGATCAGGAGCATCGAATCGTCGTGAACAATCCAGAGTGTGGACATGGAAACGCGAACTGAAACTAGCATTCAAAGCGGTTAGCATTCTGTCGATATCCTTTCTCGGTCCACCTATCCACGAAGTACCTGTATCAGAAATGGCTTGTTGTTCTACTGCAGACGAAACGTTGCCCAACGAATAGCTGAAAGAAACGATTTCCTTAAGCAAACTATCAAATCAGTCTTCTATCGGTTGTCAACGCAACCAGTTCAACCTGAAATCAATCGCTGTAAAATAGAATTACTGTACTTTTATTTCCTTCAAATATGTTTAGCCGAATATTTTCTTGCTGCAGCTCTTTTCAGGTGGCTTGAAATGATTGCAAAATGATCTCAACAATTGTATATCATCGAAAGTAACCCTTGAATAGAGAATTGCCAAAATGTTTGAGCGGTTAGATTAACCCATGAGATATTCGCACTACAATGAACCGAATCGAATCCGCCGTATGTCACCACTCCACCCACACCACCCAATGCAATATCAGCTGATCTGTAACAGTGATTCGCTTCCTGAGATTTGCTTAAGCCGAGTAAATGAATAAAAAAATATTTGATCTCAGTCTGTTACACATTCTTAATTTGATCGCTTAAGAAGCTTCCACAATGACAGCAGTTGTTTTTGAGTATTGCATGAATTTAATTCGGAGAACTGAATCTATATTCATTTGTTGAGCAAATTTTCACGATGTGATTTTTTGAAGATATATTCATCACATGCTGAACGAATGTTGTTTGGATATGTCATTTCCGACCGAAGCGAATTCATTAACTGAACTCTATTGGACAGCATCGTCCGAAAGCTGGGACTAGAGCAGAAATAATGACTGCAGAAAGCGAAGGATTTCATTTATAGTGAATTATGGTCGAGCTGTTTTGAAGGCACTTCAGAATATGAAGTTCACATTCGCTTCAGCTTGAATCCGGCATAATAATAACCTCACTCTTTTTTTTGCACCTCTTCATAATCAAGTTTATCAAACGACAAATTCAAGAAATGTGCCCTTATGCACCTGCTCATCCACACTGTGAACATTGGCTCTCCAAACTTTCTCAATATTCGCTGCAGTGGTGGTTCAATGTTATCGCTCGCAATTTTCGGCCAAGCCATTCCAAAGATACCATCAATTGGTTGTAGACTGAATGTGCGGCCAATTCGCTCTGCGACACCAAAACTCTGATGTGGGATCAGTATCCCGGAGAACTGAAAATTTTGCACTCAAATCAGCTTCTATACAACGTTTTTGGAAACCATTCTATTCTGTTCTTTTGGGCTCAAAAACGGCTCTGTTCTGTTCCAAACTGTACCTTCCACATGTGCGAACTGTTCTATTCTATTCTATTTTGCTCCTTAAACTGTGCTATACTGTTCTAACTGTTCTTTTCTGTTCCGTCAGTCAGAAAAACGGCACAATAAAAGTTATGGCAATCAGGGTTCGAGACATGATTTCTTGACATTTGCATTGTAAAATGCAGATTGTTTTGGGTGAGAGAAGATTGTCCACGCAGGCAGTTGACAGCTTTTGACCGTGATGGTTGGAAGAAAGCAGAGGGTTTCGGGCTATGGTAATCATCAACATTAAAGAACAGAACAGGAATAGAACAGCTTAACTGGAATAGAGAAATCACTAGTCGGATCAGTTCACTGAACAGAGGTTTGTTATTGAAAACAAAATTTCTTGTTTATTAAACTTTAGCATTGAAGAGAACTCGCACAGTTCTCTTCAATGCAAAAGAGAGCTTGCATATATTTCTCTTTAGCATTGAAGAGAACTCGCACAGTTCTCTTCAATGCAAAAGGGAGCTTGCATATAGTTCTCTTTAGCATTGAAGAGTACTCGCACAGTTCTCTTCAATGCAAAAGAGAGCTTGCATATAGTTCTCTTTAGCATTGAAGAGAACTCGCACAGTTCTCTTCAACACAAAAGAGAGCTAGCTAGCATAGTTCTCAATTTCATTGAAGAGAACTCGCACAGTTTTCTTCAAACAATTGTTTGTTACAGTCTGAAGTTGAATTCGCCTTCGCTTCTGAAATTTCTTCTTGAAATTTTTCTCTTAAACATGTTCAACAATAATGCTTCCCCAGTTTGAAGAAATTTTAAAGAACTCGGCTTTAGTTATCATAAAAACTGGCTCACCGTGATGATATCTGACGCTACATATCCTTCTGTAAATCCAGCGCCATAGTTTACAGAAAATGGTTTGCTAAGATTGCGGAATGTAAAGGACAGCCTAAAATATAATTGTCCAGTGAAGAGGTCTGAATAATTGTAGCAGAGTGTGAAGTGAAGATGCATGAGCTATGTGTTTCGGATAGATAAGGAGATTCAGTTCAAATTTGTTTTTGTGCTTCATAATTTAAGTGGAATGGGAATGTCTTAGTTAAGTTGCTGACTGATCATTGTCACGCTATCACATAGAAAACTTTCAGTCCATACGTTCCAATTCAAATTATCTACAAACGACTTTAAACTATCGGTCCTCGATGGCTTACTTATATGGAATCAACTGATGAATAAACTTTTCGGATCAACTTGCGAATTGCGGGAACAAACATTTTAATCAACAAACCATGGATTATATCGGCGCTTCAGCAACCCGAACCCGAAACTACCTAAGCAACTGACTGTTCGACATGCTGCGCTGATAACCCATAAATTTGAACTGCCTGTGTCGAGTAACACT